AAAAAAAAAAAAAAAAAAAAAAAAAAAAAAAAAAAAAAAAAAAAAAACAAGGGTCGTGCTGTAAAGTATATAAAATAATATGAAATCAATTTTAAAATCTAAATTCAACATGTGAGCTCAAATTCAAAATTCACAAGGGGGACAGAAATAAAATTAAAAAAGGAAAAACATTTTTATTATTACAATTTTATGAAAAGATGATTTGATATTATTTTATTTTATTTTTTCATCCAAAATGGAAATTTTAGGCTTCCTCAATTTCTTTAAAATATTTTATCCATTATTTATATATTATTTATATTTCGTAATGAATATTCAGAATGACCAAAATGTCTCTAACATTTCACGACAACTAATTATTACATGTCATGTCACAAATATATATTTTTTAAATTATTTGGTACATGATTTAGGCTTGACTATAGTCAGTCTTAAGAGAAATTCGAGTCCTATTGTGACTCTTTTTTATTTCATCCGACATTTTTTTTTCAAAATTTGACTTTATTTTTAAATTATATTGTAATGCACTACAACTATTGGTAGGAGATATGATTATCGGCTTTATTTTAAAAAAAATAACAAACAAAAAAATATAATAGTTATCAAATTGGGTTTTCAAACTTTTTAAAATTCAAGGTTTTATTAAATATGAATTAAAATTTTATTATACCTGAAATTAATTAATTTTAACTAATTTATGTCACAAAATTTTAAAAAAATCAAACTTTTAATCTTTCAATCGAGAATACAATGGTTTCTGTTAAAAAGTAAATGGGGTCATCTAAATTGGCCCATTCCTTCAAAAAGTTTTTCATAATTTTTTTTTTTGTGAGTTTTGATTTTTTTAAATAAAATATTAAATATGAAAATTTTACAAAATAATAATAATAATAATAATAAAGAAGATTTTAATTTTAATGATTAGATTAATAACTTATATATTTAACTTTTAAAATTAATAAAATAAAGTGAATATATATAGTTAATTCGTTTTATTTTCTATTAATAACTTATATAAAATTTCTAATATTATATTGTCATAAAAATTATTTTAGGAATTACTCGAGACTTATAAAATAAAATAATAAATAAATAATAATAAAATTTCCAAGGTTTATTATATCTACGATCATCGAAGCAAAATTGGAACGAATTATTCGTAATGTAATTAATCTCACACATTTTGCGATTGCGATCGTCTTTCTTTCTACGCGCACGAAGTTTCAGCGATGGTTTCGAGCGCAGGCTTCCACGATCTCTGTTTCGACATCAATCTCTGCACCGGTTTCGAACTTCGATTCTCTCGATCGCCGTCCGCCGATTTCAATCGATTCACATCCGACAGAGAAATACAGAGATCAGTGATCAAAACAGGGAAGATCCTTCCAAATCCACTCGAATTTCCATGTTTCAGAGCCTTTGTAGCGGTGTACGTCAGAGATCTCATTTCTTCGATCGTTAGCACGGAGTAGAGGAGATCCATCGGAAGTAGAAAGTACAATCGCCGGCACTCGAGATCTTCGTCTGGCAAAAGGCCTTGAATCCGGTGGCCGACGCTGAGATCAGCGGAATCGCAGAGGAATTTGCCGGAATGCTCGATCATTAGTTCCGCGGCCTGCACTGGCTTCCTGTAGCTCTGCAATTTTCCGTCTAAGGATAAGACCTTCGCGGCGCCATTGGAGGCCATTGAAGGCGCACAAGACGCAGAATTCCCCATAGAGAGAGCGTGTTGGAGAAAGTGGGAGTTGTGCCTATAATGGAATCTCTCTCGCCGCCGGTGCTTGAATTTATACATGAATACGACACACACAGAGAAAAAAAGGTGTGTTTTTTTAATTAAATTATAAAAGTAATATTTATTTATTTACAGAAAAAACAACATACAATTTGGATTTTTATTTTTATTTTTATTTTGCTTTTTAAAAAATTGTTGAATTTATTTTGTACATGAATATTAGTGAACAAAATAATAATATAACCAAAATATCACTTTATATTAGTTTAGCTATTAAAATAGGGCTCAAAATATAATACTCGTAAACTGTAACGACGAAAACAAAATTATTTATTTGATGTTATTATTATTTTTAAAGCTTTAAAATAAATATTCTGGTGCACCTAATTTGGCAGAATATTGCGATAAATTTGGTGCGGCGGAAGGGAGAGTGTCGGCAACAGAAATAATAAAATTCTTAATATATTTTTGGTATAAATTTTCATTTTGGATAAATATTTTTGCTACTTAACAAAAATAAAAAATAAAAAATACCCCAAATAAAATTTGATTAATCTATAAACTGGAGAGTCGTGTTTGTTTAACATGGTATCAGAGTCATGCTCTAAACTTAGTCGTTTCAATAGATTGGTAAATTCTCAAATGTCGAACAAAGAACTCCAAAAGAAAAGGAGTCGAGTCTCCTCGAAGGCATAGTAAAAAGATGACTAAGACTCTAAAAGAAAAAGAAGTCGAGCCTCGATTAAGGGGAAACGTACATGTTCGAGGGGAGGTGTTGGATGATGAAAGTCTTGGCTAATTTAGGGAATGATCATGGGTTTACAATCAAATAATACTATCTCCATTGGTACGAGGCCTTTGGGGAAGCCCAAAGCAAAATGCTTATACTCAAAGTGGACAATATCATACTATTGTGGAAAGTCGTGTTCATCTAATGTCTGTTAGTGAAGTGGGGTCTGAACTATTATAAATGGTATTAGAGCTAGACATTAGGGTGTGCTAGTGAGAACATTGGCCACCCTATAAGAGTGTGGAAACCTCTCCTTAACATACATTAAACACAGAACGGTGTATCAGTGAAGACGTAGGTGAGGATGTGTGGAAACCTCTCATTAACAGACTCAGACCAAGGAAGTCCAAAAATAATTGTGTGGTGGTAATAAGGACAGAGGGCCGAAACTAATGATTGATAATGGCAAAATTTGATTCGATTTACTTTGGCATGCCACGAATTTATGTATATTTATTAATTGGGGCCATACTCACACCACCACAAACAAACAGCTGCCTTTAAACAAAAAGTCCTTTGCTCCACCCTGGCTTTCAAACCTGCTTTGGCTCCTTCTATTGTCTCCCACTCCAAATTTGCTAATTTTCTTGTTTCTTGCACGCTGTTCATAGCCAATGGTTTTATATCTGTGATAAGAAAATGGTGGGTTTCGAGCGATGAACTGACTGAATATCGGTTAATTAAAATAGTGGATGACTGTGGATGACTGTTACTCTCAACAGTAAAAATTATATATTTTATTTAAATAAAGAATAATATCTGTTGTTTTGAATGGAACATTGGTTTTCATTGTTACAACATGCATACTCGTAACTGTTTTCGCTCATATTTCGTATTCCACGTACACAAAAGTAAGCTGTTTTGCATTAAAAATAAAACGATCTGTTGTTCTGAATCTATTTCACTGTTACTAACGTGTATGCATTAAAAAAATAAATAAGGATTGTTTTTGCTTTAAGCGAATTGTATTAAAAAAAATAAATGATCAATGGTTGTAATTAAGTAAAATTAGATATAATTAAGTGGTTTAGTGTTAGATAAAATATTACGTGAACCACCCAATAATTGGAGTCCACCTAGCTGAGAAGGTGGCGGATTTTGGAAGATATGGGAGAATGGCCAACCCATATTTAAGCTAATTAATTATTAATTAAACATAACAAACCACGTAATCATACTTAGCTGGATGTGCGCTTTTTATCTAATTATTTTAATAAATAGAAGGATAAATTGGTCTTTTTATTATTTATTTATTTATCTTTTACCAGATGCCATAAAAATTTGTTAGAGAATTATTGAGAGTCAGTGAGGTCATTTGCAAAGTCACTAGAGTTTATCACAGTTAATAGTGGTTTTTTTTTTTTTTTTTTTTAACTATTTAACAAAATTTTTAATTTGTGGATTTTTTTAATTTGTAGATTTTATACTCTACCGGCTAAGGTGAGCCATGAACCCATCGTCCGTTGTATCCTCATAAACGGACTTCGGCCACTGCAGCTTCGAAGGTTCACATGCTTCCTATTCTTCCTCCTGCAACTGGTTTGATTGATTTTCTGAAATCTCTGTAATCTTAGCGATTTGAGCTGTTATTACTCTTCTACGGATACGGGATTAAGTTTTCCGGTTTCTGGTCATAAAACAGCCAATCGGTGCGGATATGTTTACGACACTGCTTCATCTCATCCTTGTCTCGTCTTCCATCACTTCGATTTTTTGATGCTCGAAACTGTTAGGTTTTCGTTAATTTACTGATTTTTGGAAGGTTTTCATGCGGGGAATGATGCAGGAATGGCTATTTTTACACATGGATGCTCCATTTCCAGATTTTTCTGTGAAAGGGAGGGGACCTTGTCTTTAGGCATTCCGGCTGCTTCAGCTTTGCCGCAGAGAGCGGGAGTTTACGGACATTTTGCGAGAGGTTAGTCAATTTTAGTCGTCTTTTAGTTGAAGATGTAATAGTTGCGGATTGTTTATGATGATATATTTAATTTTCATAGAACTAATAAGCTCTTGAAATCACGAAATGTTTAGTTTGCTTGTATTTTGCGTGGCATTAATTTGAATATTTCAGCTAAGTTGATTGTGTCGTGTGTCACAATCGCATTGGCAGAGTAGCAATTGTGAAGCACTTGTTCTAATCCGGGAACAAGCTAGCTATACTGAAGTTGGATTTTCCGGACAACCTCGACGTATAATTGAGTCTCAAGTCACGTTTGAAAGAAATGTAGAAAACGTGAGCGAGGAAGTGCGTTGGAAACAATTTAAAAGAAATAATGTTATATGCTAGCGAATAACCAACCACCATAGTTTTGATAGCATATAATCCGGATGGGAAGAATGGATAACTAGTCACATCCCTTCTAATACATTTTGGGGTATTTTAGCTCAGGCGGATATATGATTTTGGTGACGTACACCCTATATTGACATGAAAGCAACTAAAAGAGGTTTGGAACAAGCATGGACAATACGTCTTAAACAAGCATGATCGGGACACCCGACATGCAGCCACAAATAGCATGCCTTAGACAAGCATAATCGTTGAAACCGTGCACTATTCCTTCCGGGAAAGTTTGTTAAAAGCTCAAATTTTCTCTTCACTAGTTTTTTAGAAGGTTAGATTGTATGCCTCTGTTTCTTTGTCCCAACAATCATTACTTTCACCGTTCTTATTCTGGTTAAGGCTATAAAAGGCTAGAAAGATTACTGCCATATGTTGCTTTCTACCGATGCTTCTTCCCAAAATTGAATTCTTGGCCACTTCCAGCCTTAAAAATGATATGCGAACCAAGCAAATAACAATATCCTACCATTGGCTCTTTTATTAGACGAATAAAACCAGAACTGTTGCAAGGTTATTTCCAAGTTGATTGTGACCAGTTAAGTTGATTTGCCATAAGAGTTCATTCATTTATCATATGATTACTATATCTTCTTCTTCAGAGACAGGAACTAGTCGGCAGTTGTCAAAAAGGGAAGTTCTTGATTTCCCAAGGAAAGGATTCTTTGCCACAAGGAAAGTTGTCCTCACAGTCCCTAGGGACAGTAGCTCTTCAAACACAAGCAGCAGCAAGGACGATCCTACAAGTAAACCCGAGGCAAGGAAACTATCAGTCATGATTTATTTTTTCTCCATTCCAATGAATCTTCTATATATTGTCTGCCTCTTTAGTCGATGGTGAATGCAGTTATAGAAATGCTTATTGTGATTTTATCGGTCGGAGGGAGGAACGAAACAGTCCTTATAAGGACGTGGAAACCTCTTCCTAGCATATGCATTTATTCATGAGGCTGATGGCAATACGCAACGGGTCAAAGCAGACAATATCTGTTAGTGGTGGGCTTGGGCTATTATAAATGGTATCATAGCTAGACAACGGGCGGTGTGCTAGCGAGAGTGCTGGCCCCAAGGGAGATAGATTGTGAGATCTTACATTAGTTGGAGAGGGGAACGACACATTTCTTATAAGAGTGTGAAAATCTCTCAATAATATATGGGTTTAAAAACTGTGAGGCTGACGGCAAAACGTAACGGGCCAAAGTGAACAGTATCTGCTAGCGGTAGGCTTGGGCTGTTACAAATGGTATTAGAGCTAGATACCGGGCTGTGTGTCAATGAAGACATTGGGTCCCCAAGGAGGGTGGATTGTGAGATCCCACGTCGGTTGGAGAGAGGAACGAAGCATTCCTTATAAGGGGGTGGAAACCTCTCAATAATATATGTGTTTAAAAACTGTGAGGCTGACGGCAAAACTTAACGGGCCAAAGCGAATATCTGCTAACGGTGGGCTTGGGCTGTTACAAATGGTATCAGAGCTAGATATCGGACGGTGTGCCAATGAAGACGTTGGGCCCCCAAGGGGGGTGGATTGTGAGATCCCACGGCGGTTGGAGGGGGGAACGAAGCATTGCTTGTAAGGGTGTGGAAAACTCCCCCTAATAGACGTGTTTCAAAACCGTGAGGTTGACGGTGATACGTAACGAGCCAAAGTGGACAACATCCGCTAGCGGCGGGCTTAGAGCTGTTACAATTAATCTCTATTTGAAATGTTCGCATTAATCATGGAGGATTATCAGTAAAGACAAATAAGATCTGTTTCACTTTATTGTTTCTCCTGCAGCAAACACCTTTTGGCTACACGAGGAAGGATGTTTTATTAATTGGTTTGGGTGTCACAGTTCTTGGATTTGGACTGAAAAGTGGATTAGAGGTTAGATATGTCACTTTCCCTTTAATAACTGATTGTTCCTCCCGCAAGCAATCATTGGTTTCTGGCTATTTGTTCATACTACAAGCTGAGGAGAACGGGTTTTTATATTCATTTCCACAATTACCCTTCGCATTTTACCTTTTCTTCTGCAGTTTGCGGGGTATGATCCTATGCAAGCAGGTAACGTTGTTCAACTTGTTCTGGTTTTGGGTTTAACGCTTGGATGGATTTCCACGTACATGTTCAGAGTTTCAAGCAAGGATATGACATATGCTCAACAACTACGTGACTACGAAGACAAAGTCATGCAGGTAAGGGCCACTCTCTACTCGAAATCATAGTCATGTTTGAGAGTGATTTAAATCACGTTTGAAAAAAAGTGGAATGTTTTTTACCTTATCAACGTGCCTATCAATTTGATGTTTGTAGAAACGCCTTGAGAGCCTTACCGAAGCAGAGCTAATGACATTGCTTGAACAAGTCGACGAAGAAAAGAGCCAATCAACTAGTGGTAAATAGGTTAAACGAAATTTGTTGCCTTCGAGGAGGGTTGACTCCTTTTTTTTTTTGAGTCCTTTGTTTGACATTTGAGGACTTACCCGTCTATTGGCACGACTAAGTTTAGGGCGTAGCTCTGATACCATGTTAAACAAACACGACTCTCCACAATGGTATGATATTGTCCACTTTGAATATAAGCTCTCATGACTTTGATTTAGGCTCCCTCTAAAGGCCTCACACCAATGGAGAGAGTATTCTTTGATTATAAATCCATAAACATTTTCTAAATTAGCCGACGTTGGACTTTCATCGTCCATCAGTTCTAAGACAATAATTGACAAGACAATAGTTCTAAGACAATAATTGACAAGAAGCTTACTAGCAATTGATAAGAAGCATTATTTATTCTGAAAAATAACGGTTAATTTCAAACTACATATTTTTTTTTGAATTATTACGTCATAATTGGGGGCGAGAAATGTGGACACGCGGGATATACCGACAAAACCGAATTCCGACCCGACAAAGGATTGGATACGGCTTCTTAGCTTTACAGAACGACATGTCGTCGGAAAATACTAAATAATCGTAATAAACAAAATTGGGGGGAATCCCCGACTACCCCAAGGCTGAAAACCGCCAACTTTGCGCAGATTCTTCTCTCCACCGTTAAATTAGGGCTGGCGGGATTGCAGTTTGATTCAGTTTCGTATTTGGAAAATGGGGAGGAGAGGCAAGCAGAGGAAGTTCGAATTCGAGGACGACGAAGACGAACTTCAGGGTGTGAAACCCGGGGATTCGAATTCTGCCAAGTCGGTGAGCAGTGATGATGAGGCCAATGAAGATCTTAGCCTCAATGTTGTCGAGAAGGCTTTGCGATTGCGCGCTGGAATGTTGGTTATCGATGCAGGCAATAATAAGGATGGTAACTGTGAACAAGATGGTAATGGCGCTATTGTTGCCATTGGTGCTATTGAATTGTTTGCATCGTCGTTGGAGGATGCTGATGCCGAAGCCGGAACTAGCGGAGCCAGCGGCGATGGCATCACCGCTGCTTCTGAGGGGCGCGAACTGGAGAGTGAGAAGACAGTGAAGCAGAGGAAGACGAACGTTAAGAATCTGGGAACTGAAGAGAGCAATGTGAGTATTTTACTACTTTCGCTTTCATTTCTTGTTGATAGAAAGCAAAAATATAACTCTATTTTCAAAGTATAAACCATTTTATAATTCGAGCAAGATATTATAACCTTTCCTGTATCTGATGAAAAGATCATGGGGTATGTCTACTAGAGCTTTGTATTTCTCATTGTCTTGTTGTTTCCTTTCATTTTAGATGGTTGTCACAGAAGGAGAGAAGTTCGGAACGACTGGAATGATAGATCAAGGGGTTTCGGTGGAATCAAACTCTCCTGAGACAACTGATAATAACGTGTTCAGGAAGCTTCTCGTGAGTCCCTTTAACTGGTCTGAACTACCATTATGGAAAAATTAGTGTTTGTGGATGCATAGTGTTGTATCTCTCATATATTGTTCTACCAGCGTGGACCAAGATATTTTGATCCTCCAGACAGTTGGGGAACGTGCTATACTTGTGGCGAGGAAGGTCATAATGCAGTGAATTGCTCATCAGCTAAACGAAAGAGATCGTGTTTTGTCTGTGGAAGTGTGGAGCACAATGCAAGGAGTTGCTCGAAGGTTGGGAAGAAATATTTTTAATATCTTCGTCGTCTCTGAGTTTGCAATTCCTAATTCTAATCTAGAGACTATGTTGATTGGCTTTCCTATGTGAGTGGTTATTGACCCAATCTATTCCAATCGGCCTGAGTGTCGCACGATGATGGAGTGTTGCCTTTTAAAATGTTCTCTTGTTTCTTGCTCATTTGGATATATTGAAAATTGAAAGCCTACTCCTTACTATTCTCAGGCACGGGACTGCTATATTTGCAAGAAAGGTGGGCATCATGCAAAAGACTGTCCAGAGAAGCACATGGATGTTTCTTCAATCTTAAAATTATGTTTAAAATGTAGAGATTCTGGTCATGATATGTTTTCTTGTCAGAATCTTTATCCAGATGACGATCTTAAGGTCTTCTTCTCCTTCGTATTGTAGTGTACTTTCTTGGTTCTTTCCAGAAGTTATTTTGCACGCCGTATCATTTTTCTCGACTTGACTTGTAAAACATTTTTTTTTTCAGAATATACAATGCTACATTTGCAAGAAATTTGGTCATTTATGTTGCGTGGATTCCACCAGCGACACTACCATAGTTTCCTGCTATAAATGTGGGCAGACTGGACATACGGGTCTGGTAAGTCGTCTATGCAACCGACTGTATACAATGTTCACATGATACTCATATCACCTTTCATTTGAGACGTTCTCTTGTTTTGTTTTTGCCTTACTTTTATATGCAACTGTCTACTTGATTCGCTTTCACACCAGTTGGCAGTATCCATCCAAAAATCTGAGTTTTGCTGATTCTTGAGCATTGAAAAGTTTTAGATTCCTGGACTTATTTAACGACGGCGTATATTCTTATGCTGATCGAATAGTTGGGTTTGATGAGAGGCTAACATTTGTTTGTAATCATATTGTTCAATATTTAGTGAGTCAACTCGTGAGGAAGTAGGTGAGGATTAATAATGACGGGGTCTAAAATGTTGCTTTCACTTAGCACTGCTAGACGCCTCATTACTCATTAGGATACTTGAACCTTGTGGACAAGAGAGCTCGTTCCTTTAAGATTGAACTTCCTTGCTTCTAAGTTTATTGCACGTGGATGGTTAATTTTTTTTTGTCCTGTGTATCTGAATCTACAGTCATGCTCAAGATTACGCGGTGCTGTATCGCCCAGCACATGCTATAGATGTCGTGAAGAAGGGCATTTTGCCCGTGAGTGCACGAGTGCCACCAAGGTAGATAAAAGAGCTTGCAACTGGTTTGATTTATTAGCGAAAAATTAGGTGGAGAAGGTGTTCATTTTGTTATGTATTTACTTATATTTCCTGTCAAAATGTGATTCTAATCTTACACTTCATGGAGCTTGCTCAGGTCGGCAAGAGGAGTCGTCGGTTATCAAATCCGAAATCAATGTCGCAAATAGAAGAAACTAACCATATGGGGTCAAAATCTGCACCTCATGATCTTGCAAAGGCTCATAATAATGAGAAAAAGATAAGCCATGAAGATAAAACACTGACTAGCCTAGAAAGTCAGGAAGGGTCGCTGGGTATCAAATGATCCAGGTCCTGGTACCTTCTTCAATGGCACGTTCATGAGAAATGACTGGAATTCTCCTGTTACACCATCTCGGTGGGGCCACTATGCAAGCCTTCAGTCATTCACAGAGAGGCATGCATTACATCCAGCGACTCCAATGTCGTTATGACCTGTATGGCTCCTCGGAACGGATACTCGGCGTCGAGATTTGGTGGCTTTAGCAATGAAGGAAGGAGGAAAAACTACAGCTGGTGGTGGTAGAAAGTGTTACTTGATTTGAATGATTGGTAGCTGTTGGAAAACAGTACTGCTCAAAGATTTGTTCTTTTGGTTAGTGGTTCCAAAGCAGAGTCTGAGGTCATTGTAAGTTAACTGCTTCATTTGTGATCGTACCAAATTTAACTTTTCGTTTAGTTTACATGATTCCCTGTAGGAGGTTTCTTCATTTGCAGATTGTAGCATGCAATTTCAATGTCAAGAAGCTCATCCATTCTTCTCAATTTGAGCGCATTATCTCGTTCAAGAGATCAGAGATTTGCATACTCCAATCTACATCGTCATACTCCAATCTACATCGTGTTAGAACCAAAGCTTTATATGTATCGTCGATGTTTTTTAACTTGTGTCTGCCACTTGAAATGGAGAGAAATAAAAACTATGTTTTAATTCGTTACACGAGCCAGAAAAGACGTATTAAAACTTTTAGATATTTCCTTTATTGTAGCCGTCATCAATGGTATATTAATATAACATGTGACAACATAATAAAAAGCAGTTTCCATTTGAATACCATATTGGATCGGTTGGATTGATTGACTTACAAATTACATAACTACGATTAATTTTGTTTAGTTTAACTTCATATAAATGCGAGAAAATCGAATATCTAGCTAGTTACGTATTTATTTCACATATTTGAAAATGTATTTTTAAATTTAATATTGAAGAACTCCAAAAGATGTGCAAAATGGTACGATTACTTTGGTGTACGCTATAGTTCATCATCATGTTTCATTTCTATAAAGAGGCCTCTTCTTCTATATTTTATATTTGGATCATGTTTTGGTCTTGAGCCTTTTCTTTTACTCTCATCAAGCTCCTCATTTTTCATTAGGGCTTTTGATTATTTGATGCATTGGGCACTAAATGCTCTTTGGCAGATGGTAAAATTTCTTTCCACAAGCACTGCAATTTGCAAAGGTGAAGTTATCTGGAGGTCAAATCCTCTGTTCTAATCTCTCTTTCTCTCTCTTGTTCTTCTCTCTCTCCTCCATAGCTTTTTCTTCCGTGGTCTTGAAGTCATACTGATTGTATTTGTCATCTGGAAGTTTACTTATGACTCATAAGCATTCAAGTTAGTAGTAGCACCAGAGCTTTGTTGTTGCTGATCTTAGTGATTCGTCTCAATTGTCCCCTCTGTTCAATTCCATTGCCTTCATTGGTTTCTACCGTAATTATGAAAACCCTAATTTCCCCTTCCATTTTTCTGTCTCAATTTTGATCTTAATCAGCTGGGTTTTGTGCTGGGACAGCTCTTTGAACTTGTTTTCAGTAGCTTGATTGATTCTTCCGGTTTCTCTCTACACCCAGTTCTGCAAGAGCTTTTTCTACACAGCCTGATTATGGCTGTGCTCCCGTAGCTAAAGGATGCACCAGATTGTATTTGCGCGCAATGGAAACCTGCATTTCTGTAGGGTTTAGCTCGTATTCGAATTGTGTCAACTAGTGAAGAAACATGATTCCATGTTTTCTTGAATGGTTTTGAATACACCGTTTTTTCTTCGTAAGTTGCTTGTGCATTGCCATTTACGCAATGTCGGACGATATGCTGCTTCATTTCTCCTCCAATTCATCCAACCAATCGGACCAATCTTTGCCGGCCAAAATGGCCAGGCTCGAAGCTCGTATGGTCGGTAAGACCTCGTCCATCCAGCCGCCTGCTCAATCGCAGTCAACCAGGACCTCTGTCTCATCTGCTGTGACATTCGTCGCCTCTGAAAATTTGATCGAGCCCTCCACTTCGAGTGATTCTGATGACGGCGTAAGTTCCATTTAACATCCACGTGCAACTTGTATTCATTCTGCTTCGTTTTTGTATCTCGAGATTTGAGTTTCAGTTGGTTGTTGATATTGTTGCTAATTGAACACCCTGCTACTCTAATTTTTTCTATTGGAATTGACTGAAATTTGGCGTGAGAAACGAGAATGCAAAACTCACAACTAGGATGATGTACATTTTCCGTATTACTTTTTGTGCATGATCTTTGATTTTCGTGTGGTACTCTGTTATTGAAAGGTTGACATCGATAACTTTGGATTAAAACAAGCGAGATGTATTTGTCTTAGAATATCATTTTGATGTTCTTGGCTGACCTATTAACTCGAACGTTCTCATTTAGGATCTATATCCATTTATTTTTTTTTTTTTTGAAAACCAAGATTCATGTTTGCACTGCAAGTATGACAACTTCAAAAGTTTAAGAAGTGACTGCCTTCTTGGAAAAGAAAATAATTTATTTTAAAGGAGGGAGATTTCACTCTTATTCAGGCAGTTTCAATCAAGATTCCTAGTTTTTACTCGTCTTTGTTTAGGATCTTGGACATCGTATTTAAGAATATTGACAGGAACTATATGCCACTACACAATGGAACTATATGCTTATTGCTTGCTGAAAAACTCTTCATTGTTTGAACATTTAATTAATTGAGTTGTCAGTTCCATTACAGGATCATGCAATTTTTTTTCCTTTTGAAAGACTCTTCATGTTTACTTATTGCCTGTTGGCTTACATTTTTCGAACACTTTCCTTCTCTTAGGTGGGGGATATCTAATTCTCGGTCGGTTTTTTTCATCTTAATTTTTCTGCGTTGTTTCTGGAACTCTTAGAGATTATCTATTCTGGATCTGATGATATTGTATTTTATGTGTTGTATGTTAGACTGGGGATGGATTCCTCATCCAAGCCAACACTCAGAAGCGCCAGAAACTTCAAGAGGCCAATGATTCAACCCTTCCTGAGCGTGTTGAGGTAGTTCTTATTATTTTGGTTATGGTTTGGATATTGCTATTGTTTAAATATGATAGACAATCATAAACCCTAATTTCAGAGTATAACTTTAATTGATCATAAATGTTCTATTTTTCAATGGAATGTTCATGCCTATGAAAAAAAAATTTCTGTTTTCAAATTACTGCACCAAACCTTGTTGTCTTGTTTCTTGAGCGCATAACTGACTGATTTTCCTTCTCCATCTTGTTTTTTTTTTCTTCATTTTCTTTTTGGTTTTCTGAGTTGTGCCGACTTGCAAGTTGTATCACCATGAAATTTCATTTCTCTTTGGAAATTTACTTTTTTAAAATAATAATAACAACCACAACAACACTTTAAAAGGCATTTCAGGCAGTGGATGATGGGAAGAAAAACCTGGTGGAAGCCATAGAGACCAAAAAGAATATGGATGTAAATAGGAAAAAGCAAGCTAGAGGAAGGGGACAATCCCTCTCGAATAGAGGTCGTGGGTCAAGAATTAATGATCAGATGAAATCACAAGTTTCTCTCTCAACAATTCCACCTACGATTGGTCAACATGACAGTGTATACCTTAAGGTATGTCCTGATTAATCAATATGCTTTAACAGAACAATTTTGTGTTATTTAATTCTTTATGATGGATTGACCATGCAGTTGAGTTATTTATTTGGTTGAAAGATGGTCTCCAAGATCTCTCTTCCACACATCTATATATAAATATATAGTTTATTTATTTATATATTTATGTAATTTTCTCATTTCAATGAGATATTAGCCTTAGCCAATTGGAGAGCTTCTTTTTTAACTCCTTGTATTTTTGGGCATCTTGCCCCTTTCTGTATGTTTCATTGGTCAATCAAAATGCTACCCTTTGTATAATTTTGGTGAAGACTCATTCAGGTTTTGGGAATAGATGATGTTTGCGATACTGTCATCCTGGTTCCCACACATTTTTAGGTGTCCTATTGGGAGTATAAAGGTTCTTTGTATTAGTTCAGTAAGTGATGTTATGTGCCTTTCCTATGAAGCTAGACATCTTCTCCATCGTGCTTAGATTCCTTTAAAAGGGAGAATGGGCGAGGATGTGTGATTAGACAATGGATATCCCTATCATGGGAGAGGAAGTCATTTTAATTTCTTCCACTCAGACTCAGTTGTCATCCGCAGTAATCAAACTAGACACGGATGTTTGTACTACAAATTCGCATGTAAAGGTATTGTAGCCTGATTGGAGGAGGAAAAAGCTCTAACTCAAGATGATGACGAGGAAGCCGTGGGTTGTCGCAAGAACAATACAGCTTATGAGTTGATTTTAGAGATGGTAGTAGAGAGAATATGTTTCATCTTTCCTAGTAAAACCGTCAAGTCAACCTCTGATCTTTCCTTACCCAATACCCATACAAGATTGCATGGGTTGGAAAAGGAGATTTACCCCTTTTCATGAGACGTTCCATTATGTTTTGAAAAGTTCTAGACTGATGAAGTCTTTTCCTATATGCCATAGTGTAGGGATATTTGGGTTGGTTCAACGTCAATTTTTCAAAGCCAACTTAAGAAGCAGCTGACCTTTTAATGAATTGACTGCTTGAAACTAGCAAAACCAATCAAAATTGACCAATGTTCTATTTTTAAAAGAAGTTGCCCCATAATGGCGGGTGCTAGAAAGTATGAATTTCTCAATTTGCAGCTATAAAATTTCTTAGGCAAGAAAGGCCATAAGACTAAGCATGGGCCCTCGTATAGAATCCTCACTTTCTACCTGAAAGAATGATGATACCTCAGCCATTGATAAAATTATTCTAATGCAATTCTCTTAATTTATTGGCCAACCTTTTAAGTCCTGTTCTCTATCAAGGGAAAAAAAAAAAACATTGGTTTATTAATGATCAATCTCTGGTTTTGCAGGATGGGATGTGTAAAGACCAGCTTCGGGTAGATAATCGCTCTCCATTGGAGGTATGGCTTTTTTTATATTGCATGGAAGCATTCTCCAATAGGGATAAGCCAACATAATTTTTGTTTTTGGATAAAAATATATGCTTATGTTGAATCCCCTGTGGAGTATGCATCTGAAAGAGCGCAAAAGAGAATTCATATGCCCACCATGTTAGTGGATGATCTGCAACCTTCGAAATAAGATTAAACGTGCTTTCTCAACTTACAATTTGTTGACTTGTGAAGTGTTGTTTTGTTTGTAATGAATAGTATCTCCTGTTTGTTGCATGGAAAGTTTTTATTATGCAAAATATCTTGTCTTCGTGCCACAACTTTTTGACATATCAAATTTGTTTTCCTTGTTGGATTAAATAGGAAGAGTTGGTTTCTTTACGGGCAAAAGTTGCTTCATTGGAGGAGAACTTGCGAAAATCACGTCAGGAGTCTTCGGAATATCAAAATCTTTACCATGAATTAGAAAAGGTACATAGATCATGCCCAGGATAGTAAAATACCTATTTGCATAGAATACATTTTCCTTGTTGTCTTTGCCCATGCATATGATGGTATTCTACAATGTTTTTCTTTTTTGGAGTATTCTAAAATTGTCACCAAGTTTGTTCCTCAAGCGAGACATTTTTAAAATTCTGTCTTCTATTTATTAATTTTACCTTTTACCTTTTCTCTTTGGTCATGAACTATGCAGGAGTTGAAGGAGATCAAAGAGTACGAACAGCAGATGAAGCCTAAGGTTTGTTATCTCAAGGAACTAATCCTTTTCCTGCGAGGAGAATTTTTTTTTTCAAAATTTCAACCGTGTGTAAAATCCTGTTTAGTACCGCTAATGAGTCTATGATCTCCGCCACTAGTAACTTTATGCCGCCCCACTCTCTCAGTCATTGCTTTCCTTTCTTGCCCAATTTATATGTGGCCTACAACCTGGACTTACTTTATGATTGCCATTTGCTGATCATCAAGGTTGTTTACTATGGAGGGTGGTTATTATCTTATTTGTTCTCCTTTTGATCTTTATGAAGAGCTAAATGGAACTTGCTTTCATTAAAACCTTCATTGTCCTAGTGTGGTAGGCTTAAAATGCCATCGTCAAGAATCTCTTATTCTTAGACACAATTCAAGAATTTCTTTTCATAGACAGTTTTGCCGTTGGAATTAACTGTTTCATCCTTCTTGTGGGTTTTATTGACATTACAGAGAACGAAGGTACTATCCGATTTGCTGATATCTGTTTCAAAGGCTGAGAGGCAGGAAGCAAGGATGAAAGTCCGACAAGACTCCTTGAGACTAGGCAATGTGGGTGTAATCAGGTTAGTTTTTTCATTATCTAATTGTCATAGGTTATTGTCTCATTATCTTTTGCTCTTGCTTAGTGGGGGATAATATAATATGCAAGCAAAAGAGAGATGAGCATACCAAGTCAGGATTTATACCCTCTCTTCTTCACCCCACTTTAACAATTATGTTCCAATTTCTGCCATCTGAATAGGCCATGCTAATGGATGAAATTTGTGAGACTTATGCTATGGGATGGAATTTTGTCTGCGAAAAATTCCATCTCAACCTCCAACAGATAAAGCTTCTTAGTGCCATCTTCTTTTGATTAACAATGAAAGTTATTTCATGGAATATTCGTGATCTAGGGGATAAATCTAAATGTGCAGTATTGAAAAATTCATACAGAATCAATGCCCCGATCTGGTTTTAATTCACGAAACAATAAGCACTTCTTGATGGTGGTCTCGGTATTGGTGGCTTGAAAAACAAAAATGTGGCTCTTTTGGCTAAATGGGGATGGAGATATGTATGAACCAAAATCCTTTTAGCGTAAAGTGGTGCAAAATAATAAGGCGAATAGTCTTCACCAATGGCATACTCTCGGAAATTTGCTTGGTGATGGCAGAAGAATTTCATTTTGGCTAGATTTGGACTATCATATTCCGTAGACTGCTTAAGAATGATGAGGTTGTAGATTTTCAACAGCTTTTAGTGAAGCCTAGCCGAAAAAAAAGATGGCTGCATTGTCAGATTCTAGAAGATGGTCTCTTGATCCTTGGGGTTTGTTTTCTGTGAAATTGCTTTCTAAGCATTTTGCTGCACCATCACCTATTGTTAAGGAATTTCATTCAGCTTTACGGAAGTATAAAAGTCCCAAACATATCAATGGATCGTTGAATTGTTTTGAGGCTCTTCAAACGAAGCTTCCTTCTTACTATTATGTCCCATCAATCTGCCCTCTCTGTATGTCAGACTTGGATGCTATGCAGCTTTTCTTTTTTGTTTCTCTTCTCAAGTCAATGCTGGTGGACATTCTTATCAATCTTTAATGTTCAGTGGGTATTCTTCAATTTCTTTAAGGAGAACATTGTCCATTATGGTTTGAAAGAAATCAAAGGATTTTCCACAACAAGTCACTTTCTTGGGTTAATCGTTTTGGTGTGTCATGCCTCAATGCCTCTTCATGGTGCTCTCTTTCCATACACTTCGCCAGCATTCAATCTAGGATTGCATCTTAATTGGAATGCTTTTATATTTCCTTTATAATATCGCATGTATTATTTTTCTGCTTTTTCTTTACTTCCTCCTATGGGGCACTTGTACTTTTTAGCATTAGTTTCCTTTTCATTCTTTAAGTGAAAATTTGCGTTTCCTTTTTAAAAATAAAATTGGACTTGTCGGTCAAATTATTGGCTTCTTGCAACCACGTTCCCTTTTAAACTTTATTTCAAGGAAACAACTGATTGCACTCTTGTCTGGATGTCAGAGCTGGGACAGTCATATCTGAAACATGGGAGGAAGGACAAGCATTGAAAGATCTAAATGCCCATCTTGTACGTCATCTTTATACTTTTGTTAACAATTTAATTTTTAGGAAAAGAATAAAATTATTAAATTTTTTTCAATCTTGAATCGAACATACAAGCAATTAAGAAACACTATTTCAAATATAAATAATAAATATAAACACCTAATAGTGAGATAATATTACAAAAGTATAAAGAAAATCCAATATAACTATATTCAAAAATTTGGATCTGTTTTCAAATAAACAATAGGCCTTTCTTTTTCTCACGTACTAGTTCATGTATTGTTCGTTTTAGTTTTCTCGACATGGAGTTATTCTTATTAGCTGTACGTTTAGTTCATTTGTTTATTGCAAATAAGCTTCCTATTTCGCAGAAACAATTACTAGAGACCAAGGAGGCTATTGAACGGCAGCGCAAGTCCTTGAAGAAAAGACAGCTGGGTAAGTTCCTTCGAATAATGTGAATCTTATTTATCCTATGTGCATCAAAAGATCAATGTTTGTTCTGAACATTCTCAAGTTTTAAATGGTACATTTTCTTTTGGCACTTAAGAGACCTCTTTCTTTTTCACCTTCCATCCTCTTGTATTCTGACATAAAGCAAAGGAAACGCTTTCTTGCTTTAGGGTTTTTTGAAATTTAAGATATGAATAATTCAGCCATTTTGAAATGACTGTTCCTTTTTAAAGACAAAGGTGATGGGGCCGATGCCGAACCAGGAGCCCAAGAAGAGGACAGTTTCATTCAGGATGAGATCTACAAATCCCGTTTGGCAAGCATCAAGCGTGTTAGTTCCTTTGTCATGTCTTGTTGTTTCTTTAATTGTTAAAACATTTATAATTCTACTTTTAGATTTTGCATAGATGACAGATCATCTTATCAGAAATTATGAATTCTGTAGGAAGAGGAAACTGTTCTTCGTGAAAGGGACAGATACGAAATTGATAAAGGAAGGCTTATACGTGAAATGAAGCGGATACGAGATGAGGATGGTTCTCGTTTCAACAATTTTCAGATTCTAAATCACAGATACGCCCTTTTAAACCTTCTTGGGAAAGGAGGATTCAGTGAGGTTTACAAGGTCAGAATTTTGTGTTGTATCATTATTTCCTGGTACTTGGTCCAAAAAATTGTCTGAGACTTGAATTGCTCGGCAGAAAACTAGTCAATCTTTGCCTTCATTTGGCAACTGTAAAGATATACCTTTTTGCAGTGATTTTGAAGTAAGAAATTTCCAGCAGGCTTATGACTTGGTAGAACATAGATACGTCGCTTGTAAGCTGCATGGGTTGAATGCTCAGTGGAGTGAAGAGAAGAAGCAAAGTTACATAAGGCATGCAATTAGGGAGTACAATATCCACAAAACATTGGTGCATAATCACATCGTTCGGCTCTGGGACATTTTCGAGATTGATCATAATACATTCTGTACAGTCTTAGAATATTGCAGCGGTATATCTCTGTCTTACCATTGTATATTTCTGTAGTGATTTCATCTTGTGTGAGGAAGCCATTAAAGTATTTTGCATTATCAGTCTCACAATTTTTTTCTCCAGGGAAGGATCTTGATGCTGTTCTCAAGTCAACACCAATATTGCCCGAGAAAGAAGCCAGGATTATCATAGTTCAGATATTTCATGGCCTTGTTTACTTGAACAAAAGGACACAAAAAATTATCCATTATGACCTGAAACCGGGTAACGTTCTATTTGATGAACTAGGTGTTGCAAAAGTGACAGATTTTGGTCTCAGTAAAATAGTTGAGGATGATGTTGGATCACAGGGTATGGAACTTACATCGCAGGGTGCTGGAACATATTGGTAAATGCCTAACTTTACTGTATGCTTTCTGGATTTTGATACGTTTTAACATTTATTTTACGGAGAGTACGAGTTTCCTGCCTATCGACGCCCCAATGCATACCTACTCTGCATATTGCAAGTCGTTAATTTCTATTGGCATCTGTAGGTATTTACCTCCTGAATGCTTTGAGCTCAACAAGACACCCTTAATATCATCCAAGGTTCGTTATTCGATAGTGTACTTTCCCTCTGCATTCTTGTTTATATTGTTATATTGTCGCGGTCATTCCTATTCCTATCTAAGTAAACATTCAATTTTTGAGTGATTTTGGATGAAACCAAAAGACGTACAAAATAGGGTGACTGGTGAGGGAAGTTAAGATAATTATTCCCCACTCGTCGCTCACCAAGCTTTCAGATATATCTCTTGCTGGTTTGAATCAAGAAGAATTTTTTGTTACAAATAATCTATACAAAGACCTTCATCCAGAAGCTAGAAAAAAGGCAAAAAAAAAAAAAAACTACCTCGAGAGTCGTATATCTCATTCTGATTTGTTCGGATAAGTGTACATAGTGTATGTACTTTCTTTTCTAATTTCGAGTCTTCTATAACGTGCCACTTCAGGTCGATGTCTGGTCAGCGGGTGTGCTACTATATCAAATTCTCTTTGGCAGACGTCCATTTGGACATGATCAGACACAAGAAAGAATACTTCGTGAAGACACAATTATAAAAGCTCGTAAAGTCGAGTTCCCTACTCGACCAGCTGTCTCAAACGAGGCGAAGGTGAGCTATAGTCTGGTTGGAGTTCATTCAATTCCCTTCGATATAATGTAATTTCTTTGTGCCTAATAACACAATCGTTCATGATATACCTTGGCAATCCATTTTGAAAGGTCAACAACGCCTCCTACATATTGTTGAGATTCATAGCATCATTCAAACAATGGCTTCTATATTAATGATGCAGGATTTTATACGACGATGTTTGACATATAACCAAGCGGAGAGACCCGACGTATTGACGATTGCTCAAGATTCATACCTAACGTACTCGAAGAAGTAATCATCCCATGACAAAAGTATGGCTCTTGGAGATCCACATTACAGGAATTTAACAAGTTCTATCTTTCTACTGCAAGCCAAGAAAGTTGAGTAACTCGTGGAAGTTGTAAACACAGAAAAGGTTGATCGCGAGGGGTCCTATTTGAGTGACTTCAGTTGTCCTATCTCCAAATAATGGGGGAGGTTTGTTAAGTTCGTAGCTTGGAAAGTTGCCCTTTGTGGTTTATTGTTACGAAAATGGGAGGAAATGAGGGAAGTTTTGCTTTTATTTTGTTTGCCCATTTTTGTCCCATCCGGAAAATGATTGATTTTGTGGTATGAAAAATATTTCGACTTAACTGAAAATGCTTGCTTGTATGCGTTGTCTAGCTGTACGAAATTCCTGAAGTCGAAGGGATAGGTGGAACAAGAGGGGATGGAAGAACTACTGAAAGTCATCCATAAGATTGAATACCTTTTTTACTATACGGAAGGGCGAAATGGATCAGCAATCAGAGGGTTTCAGTTCATAAGGTATTATTTTACAAAATATTGAATACCTTTTTGGCTATACGGAAGGGCGGAATGGATCATCAATCAGAGGGTTTCAGTTCATAAGGTATTATTTTACAAAAACCGCATTTCTACCAAAGTTTCATGTAATAACTTACATGGTAGGGACTCTATAATGATAGATGGTAACATTTTCACCTTATTACTTAAGATTTACAAACAATTAATTAGTAACGATTTAAGTAAAATGTACCCTTAATCATAGTAATTAAAATGTTAAAATTTAAATTATTTTCTGTACTAAATAAATAAATAAAGTGAATTTTAAAAACCAAGAAAATGAAATATTTTAATGAAAGTTGTGAAAGTAGGCTACCACGCAAAGCATATGAAGAAAATGGGGTTCCAGATGAAAAAGGACGTTACATTGCATGCATTACTATACGTACGGCTTGTCGGCCACGCAGCTTTGTCTCCTAACGGCTACCAAATTTGAATGCCTTGAACTTATTCTTCTTTATCTACTTTTTTATGATCTCTAGACTTGTCTCGATAATATAAATGATTTGAAGACGTCATTTTCATTTTTAGTGGTGTCTTTTTTTAGTCTTAAAAGTTTCAACAAAATTGTGAAATCTCTCCTCGGCTAGGAAGGAGAACGAAATATTTTTTATACGGGCGTAATAAAAATTTTCCTTTTTACAAACTTTGAAGGAAAACCCAAAAAGAAGAGCCCAAAGAGAACAATATCGGCTAGCAGTAGACTTGAGTTGTTACAAATAGTATTAAAGATAGCACGGGACGATGTGCTAGTGGGGAAGTTGAGCCTCGAAGAGAGGTGGACATGAGGCGGTGTGTCAGCAAGGCCAATGGGGTCCCAAAGGGAAGTAGATTGTGATATCTCACATCGGTTGAGGAGGATAACAAAACACTCTTTACAACAGTGTGGAAACCTAGTCGTGACTTTTGGTGGTCTTTCTTTTTGGCTGACTCATCTTCCTGGTCTATTGATCAGAAACATCCCGCAGCGCCACGCCAGTTTAGATTTCGATTCTCAGGACGAAGGCTCTCCTTATCCCCCTCCTTTTTCTTTCCTCCCTTGCAGTGTGTGGGCCACACTTCTTCGAGGCCTTATAGGGTTCCTTCACTTACTAGTGTGAGCCCCCCCCCCCGCTCACGCTCTTCACCAAAACACACCATAGGTTAGTCCAACAATCAATAAGCTCCTCGCCGCCGCGTGCACATTAACAAAAAAAAAAAAAAAAAAAAAAAAA